GGAAAATAACGATAAAAATATTCTGTAAGTAACGTTCAAATTTTTATCTGAGCCACCTAAATGTTCTCGCGGACCACCAGTGGTTCATGGACCATCGGTTGGCGACCGCTAATCTATAAGACTGCTATTTGGTATAATATGCATAAGCTGCTGTTAAAATATCAAATTTAAAATTAATAATAAGCCTTATATAATATATTATCAGCTGTTATTACAAAATAAAAATAGCTGCTATTTATCACTGCTATTTTAAAATATTACATATTTTATATAAATGCACAAATGGGTCTCATATAAATGCACAAAAAATTGTTGATGAAGGCAAAAAACGTGTTATGGATGAAAAATTGTTTGAAATGTCAATATCTGAACACGAGCAAACACAAAGAATATTTAGAACTGCATACTTTATTTCCAAAGTTCAACACCCGTACACTGATATGCCCAAATTAATTTACTTGCAAGTAATGAATGGAATTGATCTTGAATGTATTCTCCACAGTAATGTAATATGTACTGAAATAATTGATCATATTTTCTTTGAGATGAAAAAAAATTAGCAAATGATATTGTAGAACAACAAAGAAAAATATGTATTTTGGTAAATGAATCAACAACTCAAAGTAAGAAATCAATGTTGGTAATTTGTATACGGTATGCAATTGGTGAATTAAATGAATTAAATACATTTTTTTTTGATATAATTGAATTAAAAAATGCTTCTGCAATAACTATAAAAGAAGCTATTTTGCAAGTACTTGAAAAGTATAAAATTGATTTTAAATTTTTAAAAAAAAATTGTATATCATTTGTAAGTGATGGTGCATCTAATATATTGGGACGCAATGCTGGTGTAAGTGCTCTACTGAAAAAAGATTTTCCAAATTTAATATCATGGCACTGTTGTAACCATCGCCTAGAATTGGCGGTAAATGACAGTTTAAAAGAGGTAAATGGATTGAATCATTTTCAGTGTTTTATTGAAAAAGTTTATTCGTTATACTATATGTCACCGAAAAATTCAAATGAATTGTGAGAATGTGCTGCTTCGTTAGAACAACAATTATTGACCATTGGTAAAATTTTTACAATTCGATGGGTTGCTTCTAGTGAACGTACAGTAAGAGCTGTATGGAATAATTTTGAAGCTCTATACAAACATTTTTCCTACACATCTACCGACACTCGCAAAGATTCTAGAGAAAGAGCTAAATATGAAGGATTAAACGTTTGAATATTCTTACTTCAGAAAAATTTGTGTATAATCTTAGTATATTATATGATTCATTAATAAAACTATTTGATTTATCCAAACAATTGCAAAAAAGAGATATGACTGTTGCTCATAGAACTATTCAACGTTCAATTAAAGTTCTAGAATCGATGGCGAATATTCCCGGTCCCAAAAGTCAAGAGGTAATATCTGCTTGTGAAATAAACAAATTTAAAGGCATACCACTCAAATCGTCAATAGTAAAAATACAAATGGCACAATTTTTCATTAGCTTAAGTAATAATATGAAAGTACTTAATTGAAGACTTTGAAGTGCTTTCACCAGAAAATTGGCCTGACAATATGGACATTTAATATGGAGATACAAATATTCGTCGCTTGTCACAATTGTTTCAAATTGACCAAGTTTCAGCTGTTCGGGGTTTTCGTGAGTACAAAGAAAACAAAATACTAAACAGTGACAACAAACCACTTTTAACTATAATTAATTCAATAGCAATTTCATCATCAGAATGAGCGTACGTTTAGTTCGATGAATTTAATTGTGTCTCCTATAAGAAGTACATTAACGTCTAATCATATTTCTTCATTAATATTTATTCATTGTGTTGGACCACCTTTAGATAATTTTAATCCTAAGCCCTTTGTTGAATCATGGATTAGAAAGGGAAAACGTCTGCTACTGAATCTATATGTTTAAAAAGAAACAAGAAAAAGACTTAAATAAAGAATCTCATTCATATTATCCCATATGGAAATGTCTTAATGCTTAATTTTTTATAACTTTAGTTAGTACAGGAGGTAGATAAAATATTTATTATGTATACATTATAATATTGAAATATTCTTAAAATATAATTTATGTTACTGTTGATAATATTGATTTCATCATGTTATTTTTATTATTGTCCATGTCAAATTTAATTTCTTGTACTTCATTTAATTTACATACATTTAAAAATATTGATTATTTTTTATAATTTATAAATATCATAACACGAATAACATTTTTGAGGTAAGTAATATTTAGTAAAACAGTTGAAAAATATAATTTGTAATTTAGTTGATGTCACTAAATGTTAAACAGTATTTTATAAACAAAAATTAACTCATATTAAATATAAATTATAAACTATATAGTAATATATGCGTATAATCTATGAATAATAACTAGGAATTTTTTATAAGACTATATGGAACGCTCAAAGTTATATAGCGATTAGAGTCCCCCTGGCTTTTTTTGCCACTTAGAGCTCTGGTAGTAACGGTTCTAGTGGGAGATCTTTTCCTGCATTAAAACGAATTTAAACACGTCTCAAGTCTTATATGACATTAGAACGTCTGAACGTACGATTTATATAACACGTGTATTGTGTATTTATTGAGTCTGTGCAAGTTGATGATATTTTTTAACTCAATTTAGTTAATTAATTGAGTTCATGTTCAATTAAGTTAACAATTTTGTTAATGTACATGAGAATTACATCAATTAAGTTAAAAATGAAGTTAAAAATTTTGTTAACTTAACTTAACTTCAATTAATAAGTTAAGTAAATCACATAAAAAAATATATATATATATATATAATAGATCTTATTTAACACTAACGATAATGAAAATACAGAAAAATCTTATTAGACTCTAACTAGATTAAAAAAATATAGATTTATTTACTGGAATTGTTTTCAAGCGTTCAAATGTCAAATTTATGGTAATTTATCTGCCGTTTGTTTTTAATAATTTTTAATAAAAATCACATATGATAAATACAATTTAAAGAGTATGCTTTTTAATGTTTAATAACAGTATGAAAACTAAAAATAATCACTGTAGCTGAAAGTGTAACTATAAAATTATATAGGCAATAAATGTATACAGTAGATATAAAATATTAAAATAAACATATAATATTATTAAAATCTAAACAAACAAAAAAAATACAATGGACAGGTTAATTAAAATACCTATTGAATCTCAATAAAAGTCATCTCAAAATGTGATCAGTTATTAAATTATTTTCTCATTCAATAATATTTAATAATATCATAAATTATAGAATAATTCTAATTATAATAGAGTACAATTATTATTAAGAATAATTTAATATAATATGATAATATGTACCTATTTTTGTAATATAGATTTATGGTCACATTTCATGACAATGGTAATGTAATTCATGGGTGGCATGGCTATTTTTACTCAATAGTCTGAAAACAGTACTTTTCCCGAGATCGGTGGGACCCCTATTAATTGTTAATACCGAGATAAATATCATGGTCTCATCTAAAAATTCTTTGAAACTTTTTATTTTTATTTTTATATTTTTATAAATTCTATAAACTTGCTATCGAATGCAGTATTTTACAAAAATATTTTTCTAGTCTTGAAAATCAAAATTAACATAATTGGGATAAACGAAAAAATAATACGTTAATTTCAAGTTAATTTGGAAGGAAATGAGTTAAGTTAATTTATCAGTAATGAAATAAGTTACTGGTAAGTTAATAAGTTAAATGAAATTAACTTTTAACTTATTAACTCGTTAATGCACAGGCTTAGTATTTATGTATACAAAGAAAATATTTTATCAGAAACTAACAACATTATTCCACATTATTACAGGTCTACAAGCATGGGCGTAGCTAAGATTTGAATCAGGGGAGGACAGAAACATAAAGCGATTAGTGTTAAATTCGTAATTCAAATAATCTACAGATAGACCATTGGATAACACATAAAACGTCTAAATGATTACATGTGTAGATAACACTCGGTCCCGCTAAACTATTTTTAGACTTGTCTTATTTAATTTTTGATTTTAATGTAAAACTTACACGTTTGGTATAAACAAATATAATTCAGTTTGAGGAGCAAGGGTGGGCAAGTGCCCCACCTGCCTCATCCTCGCTACGCCAATGTCTACTAGTATTTATAACGAATACGGTAATATAAAATTTTGGACGACTTAAGACTCTCAGAGTATTATTGTCTTATTGTTTGTTTAGTAAATTGGTCAAAAATAGTCGTATATTAATGTTATTGGGTTTTAGGCTATTAGAATTATTTTTATATCTATTTTTGATCAAAACATAAAGGTTTCGACAAAACAAGAAACAAGTAAATCGGATTATTCAATAACAAGAAAAAAATTGAGAAAATAACACGTCTATACAAGAAATAACTGGCGGGAATTTATAATCGAACCACGTTAAACGCGATGCTCGTCCCCAATGTAGTATCCAGGTATAAATAGTATCCGTCCCCTTGATCATGAAACAGACCGTCTCCAATATGTTACTAATTGTTTTAAGTACAACATTTATTTTTGCAAGTTATTATTACAGGGTTAATTTTAAACTTTGAAAATTTGCTTCTCCCGCTTTATGATCGGCGAACTCATCGATAATTTCTTAATATGAAATTTTTTTATTTAAATAACTTTACGCTATTTTCATAATTTCATCGTTAAATTCGCACGTAGTGTATACAAATGGACAACATCTACGATTTAAAAAAGTACAATGGAAATGTTGATTTGACTGTAGGATAAAAATAGGACTTTTGCATAATTTTGCGCTCCTGATGTAGGCACAGTTCGCCATACCCTCGCTACAACACTGCGTGGTTCACAATACAACAACGGTATATGTACGAGTGATATGCAAATGAACATGAAGTTGAAAAAGAAATCGAAATACATTTTTTTGCGGTTCGTTTATTTAAACACATTTACAGTATATAAATTAAATAATATATTTATATAATAGTTAATATTTTTATAGATCCAAGAAAGGAAAAAAAGATAATCGATTCAATATACATACTAAATACGCGCGCGAAACGTTACATACATAATGATATTATACCGACTACTATAATTAGGGTGCTTAATTTTTTTTTCTTCTTCTTCATCAAAGGTATATCTAATCGTTTATAATCAAGTGGAAATGAAAACGTAGAAATTAATTTCAGCTTATACATTATATCTGTATATTATAGTATTATCAATAAAATATTATCGTATATTATTATAATTATTATTAAAATTATGTTCCGTACGAAAAAATGTATATTTTCCGTATCGATTTAAAACAGCACGCAATTATATAACTTTAATACATTTAAAATAAATATTATTGTGTATCGTATTAGTTTAATTGATACGAGACAGTGAAAATGTTGGTCGTAACATCTAGAAATCAATACGCATTAAAATGAACGGGAAAATGTTTTTATCCGGACGTGTTTATAATAATTAATGATATAATTTGGTTGATACGACAAAATGTTTTCGTGTATTGCTATGTATAAACGGCGTTAACGTTAAATTGTGTTCTCCGTTCGGCCAGTATAGCTGGTGACTCGCGCGAATCGACGTCGTCGTGTGCTTCTGCGGTGTTGGAATTATGTCGCGGGATTTGGTTTTTTCTGTCTCACCTGCAAACACAATCGTAACGTTTCAATTAAAGCATTTGGAATACGATTACAACGCGCGTTTAAATGATAAGAAACAAGGGCGGAAAGACACGCCGGGCAGCAACCGGGGGGAGGGGGACAAATAATTAATACCATTTTGCTATTTCTAGTTGACTGTACAAATAACGAAAACAAACGTGTTGCGCGAACCACTAATTAAGATATTACGACGAACACGCAACAACCCGATTTCATACGTGATTACGTCGTCTTATTATGCGATAAGCTAGCGGACCACGCGGTCTATGAGTGGTCATTCGGACGGTTCGTAATATTATTAATTGTGATCGACACGGTGACTACGATTGCGAGTATCATTTGTATTCAATAAAACCACGGGTTATGACTATATGAGTCTATAAGAGCAAAAATGGTCTAACCCACTATTGTGTTACACGTTACATTGTAGTTACAAGGGTTTTTCTATAAATGCATTTTAAATGATTTTTTTCTGGAAAGCAAACACTGATGTAACATTTACTTCTATTACAACGGACAGATAAAGAACGTGCCGTTGTTTAACATGTTATATCACGTACAGTGGCGTAGCTACCATAGGGCAATGTGGGACAGTGCCCTGGGGCCCAGGAGCACAGAAGGCCTTGGACAATTCTGAGACTATACTTCCTTCAAATATTTGAAAAATTTACTAAATATAATTCCTAAATTATACGTGGTAGTTTGATGAAAAACTTTCAGGAAAAATAGTGTACATAATGTATTAAATAATATGAAAATAATAACATAAATGCAGAATATTGTGAGAACATTAACTATGGAATATTTAGAACAGTAATTATTAAATATTAAAATTAAATAGTACGTATCAATCATTTATTCAAAATCAATTCTTGTTACAATCGAGTATTCAAGTATAATAATAATTAACGCAATATGCAATATGTTTTTATAGTATTAAATTGAATTTCCTTTTTACTTTGTATAATTATTAATTATCCGTTAATTATTTTCGTTTATCGTTTCATAGTAAGTATTCACATTTGAAAGAACAATATGACCAGTATATTTTGTGTTTTCATATTAAAATAATATTAGTTAGGGGCCCAATTATTTTTACCCTTTTCTACCTAGTTACACCACTGTCACATAATGTGGAAAAAATAAAACACACGATACGTACTCGGTCGGGAAAACCAAAGGTTTTTTTTTTTTTTAGTGTTTTCATAGAAAAATTCACGGCGGGATGGTCATCTTGGTACTTTTATATATCTCGTATACGTAGGGGCGAAACTAGGGGGTGGAAGACGAGGATTCATCCCGGGCGTAAAATTTTAGAGGATGTAATTTTTGTAATTATTAACACTTAATTTTATATTTTTAACTCTTAAATACTGTTATTAGGTTAAAACTCGATAAGTATAATTCTATATTAATTATTAGAAAAAAATCCTCGAGAAGAGTATTTGATTATTGGTCTATGATAGGGCGTAATTTTAACATTTACTACGGGCATAAATATTCCTAGTTCCACCACTGCGTATACGTACAGGCAGGGGCGGATCCAGAGTCGGGGAACTGTGGGTCAAGCCATTTCAAAAGGCCATTTATTAGGGATGAAACTGAATTAGAAATGAATACCTTGTAAAAAAAAACACAATATGCTCATAAAAGTGTATAAGTATATTTATATTACATTTTAGAATTCGTGATATCACTGATAATGACTTATTTACGATTAATAAATATAATCTAATTTTATCAGCGCAACAATGTATTGAATAAAATATGGTTTACTTAACTTTCTACTAAAATTATATAATTTAAAATATAAATTATGAATTGAAAAATTTTAAATTTTGAATATACATGGCATTCATTTTTCAAATAACTCCGATGGGCCAACTGCCCAAGAGTTCAAATCAAGGTCTAAAAAAAAAAAATTTCCAAGAGGCCAATTTTGTCATCAAATATTAACTATGGGTCCGCTGATCCCCTTACCACCCCCCCTAGATCCGCCACTGCCTACAGGGTCGAAGCAACGAGCTGAGTCCACGCGCAGCGCATCGACGGCGAAGATATACTGTTGCTGATGTTTGGCGAAAGGTTGTTTTTTGCGGACGGCGATGATGACATTAAATTATAATACGTCATTCGTTGCCACTAGCAGACCGTTGCAGGACAAGCATTTCCTGTTCTCCTTTTTTAATCATTTTTTAGTTGCATCAAAATGTTCGCACTCGCACTAAATCGCCGAGAACGCGCGCAACACACCGATAGCTGTAACGCCGCACGTTTTCATCGTATCGTTCAGCCTGCTCGCTCGGGATATCTCGTGAACGTAACCACCCGAAAGTTGTAGTAAACATTTTTACACTTTCACTGCGGACCGCAGATTGGGCCAGTAGATCGTGGGCAGTGTTGGAATGTGACATGGACAAAGTGCGTTTGTATGTTTTACGTCTTTAACTGGAGCGAAACTCATTCCGAACAAAAAATATAATTTAAAACGTTAACAAATATATAATGTACTCATTTGACAGCAGGCAGCCATAGCGCGCGAAAAATCATTTTGGTCCCCTATTGTTTTTCAAACATTTTACCGATCGAATTTAATTATTTTTTACCACTGCGTACGCACAGACGTATATATAAATATAGAAAACGGTTTGGTGTCTCAATTGAAACGCGTATAGAGTGCATCGCTAGTATAGACTTTACACGTGCGTTGAATAGACATTAGTTAATTAATTACATTTTTCATTTGCCGCGTTCGAAACTGCTCGAGATTTATTCGTTTTTTGTTTATCTTTCGCAGTGAAATGATTACTGCAGTCTTAACACGCCAACAATACCGACAATACCATATTACTATTATTACATTATATGTTATGTACGCCGGAAGAAGCGGACACAATCTAAAGTAAAACCCAATCTTATCTTTATTATCGATAAGTATCTATATACGCCACAACGTAATTTCGGTTTATTTAATAAAGCTTAGTATTTTCGTAGCGGCACTATTTTATAATAAACTCTCGTATAATAAACTATACGAGGTATTTGATAAATGATGTGATTTTTTTTCTAAAAGTCATATGCAAGTGTTCATTTAATAGTATGCTCTTTTTTTTATGTACGAGTATTACGGGTTTTAGTTAAAATTCCAAAAATCGGGTTCCATCAAGACATTGTTTAACTAGGTACCGTTAATATGATTATTTTGTTCGCTCACTACTGCACAGGCATTTAAACTACGAGATTATGTTTTTGGCGTTTTCGCTAAGAGATTTTTAGTTTTTTCGTTTTTACTACCTATACAGTTTGATCACTCGTTTCCAGTTCGCGCGGCGTTATTTCGATAGCAAAAGGCGGCCCGCGGACAAATTTTTCCATCTACCCAATGTGCCGATTACACGTCGGCGGCAGTTCGTTAACTACCGCTGACCATCGTTGACTTGAATTCTGTTGTATTACGTTATTACTTGTTTTGTATTAATTTATATTCGTGTTTATTTTGTTTTTATTTGATTTTACGGATAAGAAAAGAAGTAATATTGAATTTGAAAACGGAGAGATTTTGCCCGACTAGAAGGAATTACATTTTATTTTACCGAACCACTCAAGGGCCTTGTTAGTTTGTTTGATTTGTGGCCCAATATGGTCCTCCATGAATATTGGTGACTGTTGGTTCAGATCACTTAACGTAAAATTAAAACAAATAATAATCTGTAAAAACATATAGGTATTTGAATGATGTTCACTGTATATAGTATACTCAGTGCCGCAACTACAAAATAGAAGACCTGTGTGCGGTAATTATATTGGGCCTCTTCCTAGGATTTATTTTTGTTCAATTTAAGTGTTAATTTTTTTTAGGTTTCAAAGCACGTTTTACATCAGTTAGTGCAGGGGTCTTCAACCTTTTTATGCAACGGGCCACATATTATTTTTTTTAAATCTTGCGGGCCGCATTCGTAGTAAAAACATGTATTATATATAAAAATTCAGTTTTATTCTTACAATTTTTAAAATTAGGTAGGTACATTTAAAATTACAAATTAGTAAATTTAATAATTTAAAAAAATTGTTATTGGAACATTTTTCTTGAAAAACGCGTCTTTCATCCGATATTTTACGTTTTTTACTCACCGACATATTGTACAAATATCACGAAGAAAAAGTATGAAATTGAAACTTTTACACATAAACGAGAATATTGTGCTCGTTCCACAATTGATTACGAACCAAAAGACAATAACAATTATATTTTGATAGGTAATTCAATTTATTTCATCGCATATTTCTGATAGCGATAGCTTAACTATTATAATTTTATTGAACTAGAAAATGTAAATGTTAAATTTAAAATGTGATCGCGGACCGCATATTATGACAGGGCGGGCCGGGGGTTGAAGACTCCTGAGTTAGTGTATGATATATGTATTTATATCAAATTAAATACCTATAACCAGTTTTGTATTGGAGAGTGTACGGGGGTACGGCATATTATCTTACGAGAAATTGATACGCTGGTATACAGCCGTGTCTAACTGTTCTGTTTAACTTTTGGTTATATTTATTACGTGATTCGGTATCGGATATATTATTTTTCTATTTTTTTTTTTTTTTTTTTATGAAAAATTCAAATTTATTTTCATTTAACAAGTTTTCATTAGAAAAGTGGGATCCCAAAGACTATGTGAATTCGTGGATGATAAATCATAGATCAGCAGGAGACAATAGAAGTAAATTATGTCACCCAGATGTAGATTCGAATAGTGAAAACAAAACAAGTTTTTGGAGAATACTGACGTAAAAAAAAAGTAACCATAATTTATTTTTTTTTGATTAAATTTTTTTGTCAATGTGACAGTAATAAACGTGATATAAAATATAAGCGAAGTCTGAATTTTTTTTGTATGTCACGTTATAAATTTATACCATAAACACATGCTTTCTAACTTTAAAAATAGATAGAGATATGAAGAGTGGTTAAATTA